TGAGCATCTCTTACCTGTGTTAATCCAAGCTGCCCAGCTCTGCGGTGAAAAGCAGCACACAAAAGCAATTGAGCTGCTTCAGGAATTTTCAGATCAGCATCCAGAAAATGCAGCTGAAATTAAGCTGACCATGGCACAGTTGAAAATTTCTCAAGGTAATATTTCTAAAGCATGTCTAATATTGAGAAGCATACAGGAGTTAAATCATAAACCAGGCGTGGTGTCTGCATTAGTGACCATGTATAGTCATGAAGAAGATATTGATAGTGCCATTGAGGTCTTCACACAAGCTATCCAGTGGTATCAAAGCCATCAGCCCAAATCTGCTGCTCATTTGTCCTTGATAAGAGAAGCTGCAAACTTCAAACTCAAATATGGGCGGAAGAAGGAGGCAATTAGTGACCTAGAACAGCTATGGAAACAAAATCCAAAAGATATTCACACCCTTGCACAGCTTATTTCTGCTTACCCGCTTGTAGATCCAGAGAAAGCCAAAGCTCTTAGTAAACACTTGCCATCGTCAGATAGTATGTCTCTCAAAGTAGATGTTGAGGCTCTTGAAAATTCTCCTGGTGCTACATATATTCGGAAAAAGGGTGGAAAAGTTACTGGAGATAGTCAACCAAAGGAACAAGGACAGGGAGATTTGAAAAAGAAGAAAAAGAAAAAGAAGGGAAAATTGCCTAAGAATTACGACCCAAAAGTTACCCCAGATCCAGAAAGATGGCTGCCAATGCGAGAACGTTCTTACTACCGGGGAAGAAAGAAGGGTAAAAAGAAGGATCAGATTGGAAAAGGGACCCAGGGAGCAACTACAGGAGCTTCATCTGAACTGGATGCCAGTAAAACTGTGAGCAGCCCACCCACCTCCCCAAGACCTGGCAGTGCAGCAACAGTATCTGCCTCTACAAGTAACATCATACCCCCAAGACACCAGAAACCTGCAGGGGCTCCAGCAACAAAAAAGAAACAGCAACAGAAAAAGAAGAAAGGTGGAAAAGGTGGCTGGTGATGAGAATATTCTTGTTGCAGGCTGTTATTAAACTAGTCTCAGTGACATTAGGAATATAATAAAGGTAACACAGCAAGAAGCACAGAACTGCTCCCTCCTCATCTCCATATTTTTATAAATAATTTCTTGTGTTTCAAATAGGGAAACATATTCCTCAAAGTCTACCTATTGGTTGCCTCATAACGTTGTACAGGTTATGAGGACTGAAAATAATGAGGCATTTACCCATCTTGGTATCTGTTGTATCCTTTATGTGTGTGTGCTGATTTGGTCTTTTTTCAGTTTCAAAAACCTTATCTAAGGTTTCCCAGGATTTAAACAGAAACTACTTCTATTTCAGCTAGAGTCTGAAGATACTTGCTTCTGTTCAAGTCCCACTTTAAATTATGTCTTAGGAGGCCTTAGGAGACTGAAAGTGGAATCTTCTGAGCATTCCAGAATATCTGCTTAGAAATATCATGTGATAAAGAGGGACCGTCTTAATACACTGATGTTCTTTGATCAATTAAATGAATGGCCACAAGAAAAATAAATGTCTTAAATAATTAAAAAAAAATACTCGAAGTGTTTTGAGTCTTTAAGTTTGCTATTTTTTTTTTTTGTTTTTGAGACAGAGTTTCACTCTTGTTAGCTAGGCTGGAGTATAATGGTGCAATCTCGGCTCACTGCAACCTCTGTCTCCCAGATTCAAGTGGTTCTCCTGCCTCAGCCTCCTGAGTAGCTGGGATTACAGGCTTGCACCACCATGCCCGGCGAATTTTGTATTTTTTGTAGAGATAGGATTTCTCCACCTTGGTAAGGCTGGTTTTGAACTCCTGACCTCAGGTAATTCACCCGCCTTGGCCTCCCAAAGTGCTGGAATTATAGGTGTGAGCCACTGTGCCTGGCCAGTAATGTTTTTCTGAAGAGAAATATGCCATAGGAATATAACTCTTGTTTATATCAATTAGCCTATGGTAAAACTGATTTTATTAATGTCCTTTTGCTTAAAGTCAGGGTTTCCAAGTACCTATCAATGATGTTAAGTGAGAACTTACTGAACATATACATACAGTAAAATTGCATTAAGAACAAAAGGAATGGTGAACACTAAACTTTTGATGAAGGTTGAAGAAGGATAAGGGATGAGTTTGTAAAGGGAACTCTCCAGGGTTAGTTGCTGATTTTTTCAAGCCCTAGCTTTTGTTTTGGGCATAAGTTTGTAGGAATTTATTACATTATTGAACATTTTGAATTAATCAGATGAATAAAAGTGGGTCATGTGTAGACTAATAATGTTTCAGGAACAAAGGATAATGCTAATTCGGATTCTATGCACGTAGATTCTAATTGTAAGTTTAGTCTGTTCCATTGTTCTATTTTTGTTTTTACAGGGACTTCAATTATATACATATCAGATCTTCTTTGCTTTTATATCTGTCATTTTGTTCTGACTCTTTTAAACTTTTTTTTCCAGATTGATTTCATCTTCCTTTTTCCTTCCACTCCTGCTTTCTTTTGATTCTTTCGTTTCTGTCCTGTATGTCAATTACTATGGTTTTATCAATCCATTCTACCTTTGAGTCTTCATTTTGAAGTTAACTTTGTGTTTCATAGTCTATTTTCTGAGTCCAGTTGCTCTTATGTTACAGCTTCCTTTGTCTATTTCTCTTTTGATTTTTGGTATTCTTTCATATTTGCAGTTTGTTAATGATATTTAATTTATATTATTTTGGTTGTTGTAGTTTTGATCTTGGCTTTTCTGTGTTTTCCTTTGCATTATAGCTTTCTAAGGATGCTATGTTCTCTTTTCTGTTCACCGTTACCTGCATTGCATTTTCTGGACCAATGATCCTGTGGAAGAGTTGAAGGTGTTAGGTGGCTTATCCAGTTCAAGAGTCCCCTCTTCAGTTTCTACAGTGAACAACATTGACTTAAATAAATGGCACCTTTTTTGAGGGATGTGTTGTTCTTCTGACTTTTTGATTCCATTTAGTAGGGAATTCCTCTTTAATTGCTTTTTTCCCCTTTACTACCAATCTTATGTAATACTATTCACTTTCAGAGTCTGTCCTGTACCCAGGTTCTAATGTTAATTTTCTGCTTCCCTCATATACCATCTCAAGATTCCTGTCTTTGGTCTCTTGTATTTCTAAGCTTTCTTTTATCTCCCTAAAGGTTAAGGCTTTCATCCATCAGCTCTCTGACTTGTTCTAGTATTTCCCTAATCAGCTAAGGACTCTCTTCTTATGGGAGAACTTCTTATGGATAGCTGATGTTATCCATGTTCTGCATTACAAAGACACTTCCTTATTCTTTCTTCTATGAAAGTGCCACACGAGTTTCTTCCTGCTCCTCCTTCTTCTCCTCCTTCTCCTCCTTCTCTTCCTCCTTCTTAATCTTCTTCCTCTTCCTCTTCTTCCTCTTTACCTTCTCCTTCTCCTTCCATTTTCTTTCTTCAAGATTCTTGTCTGTTGCCTAGGCTGGAGTGCACTGGCACATTCTTGGCTTACTGCAACCTCTATCTCCCAGGTTCAAGCAATTCTTCTGCCTCAGCCTCCTGAGTAGCTGGGATTACAGGTGCCTGCCACCACACCCAGCTCATTTTCGTTCTTTTTTTTTTTTTTGAGACGGAGTTTCGCTCTTGTTACCCAGGCTGGAGTGCAATGGCGCGATCATGGCTCACCGCAACCTCCACCTCCTGGGTTCAGGCAATTCTCCTGCCTCAGCCTCCTGAGTAGCTGGGATTACAGGGATGCGCCACCATGCCCAGTTAATTTTTTGTATTTTTAGTAGAGACGGGGTTTCACCATGTTGACCAGGATGGTCTCAATATCTTGACCTCGCGATCCACCCGCCTCGGCCTCCCAAAGTGCTGGGATTACAGGCTTGAGCCACCGCGCCCGGCTGCTCATTTTCATATTTTTAGTAGAGACTGGCTTTCACCGCGTTGGCCAGGCTGGTTTGGAATTCTTGACCTTAAGTGATCTGCCCACTTCAGCCTCCCAAAGTCCTGGGATTACGGGCATGAGCCACCATGCCTGCCCTGAGTTTCCTCTTTGGTGTAGGCTGTGAAGCTGACTGCACTGGTCCTAGATTTTTATTTCCTGACTTATATGCAAATGAAAGTGTTCAATATTCTGCCTCTTAGTTACACTGTAGGCATGGACTATAGGTTATTTTACTTGCCTTATTTGTTAATTTTTATGAATTCTTTGGAGACCATGTGAGAGATTCAATTTAGGTGTCTACTGTCACACTAAAGCAGTGTTTCTAACATTTTTTTCCCTCACTCCTCTAAGGAGCCTTTATAAACATTTTACTTCCTAATTATCCCCCATACCCTGTGAAAATTTAATACCAAAGATATACCATAGATCTGTTTAAGTACTATGGCCACAAAGTATTGTAATATCTGAGATTTTTTTCTCCTAAGAACCAGTTTTATCCCTTAACAGCAGTATCACCCTCAATGAGAATGCATGTTCTGAAAGTACCTTGAATATTTTTCTCATTGTACTGTTGAATCCTATTTAGTAGTATTTTACTTATACTTTAACAAATGTATGAGTAATATGGGTCTATAATTTCCCTCCCTCACCTCCTCAGTGTTATATTTATTCTGTAGTTTTGTAGGAAATTAGGAGCTACTGAAGAGTTTTATTATAGGAATAATCAATTATTTTTTTTTCAGAGGAATACCTCCCTTGCCATACTATGGAAAATAAATGTAGGATGAGACTGGTGCCATAGGTTTTTAAAGATGCTATTGCAATAACATAGGTATTAGTTAATGCAGCAGTAAATTCAAGAAGTATTTGGAAATAGAATGAGCAGAAATTTGATAGTCATATGCATGCAAGAGGTAAGGGAGAAGAAATAGCCTAGCCTTACTCCCAAGCTTCTAACCTTTTTAATAATTTGACTATTAGCTTTAGCTATATTAATTAATTCTATATGAAAGAAACAGTAATTCTTTCATTTAATTAAATTATGATTTACATTACAGAAAGTGGCAAGGTTACCATTCAAGAATTTATGACTAAATTCTCTGATATATTGACAAACCCTAAAGCTGCAGGTAAGTTTTATTTAATATGTACTTGCTGCCCAGATCTAGAAAGGCAAGCAGTGGTTTATATGTTAAAAACAATACAGGTTTCAATAGTTAAAGCACCGGTAAGTAAGAAGCAATATAATATGAATATAAAACAACACAAGATTAGATTACATAACTTCTGTTTGAATTGCTAAGCTTAATCCAAACTCAAAATTTTTGGTAGTCTTCCTTGGTAATACTAGAAAATTACTAGATTATATATTATTCTTTGAGCTTATTCAGTATGCATATTTGACTTCTGAATTTATTAGAAAATAATTTTTAAAACTTTTGACAATTCCAGTGGAATTGACTTTATCACTATCTGTTAGGTTCTCATGTATGTTCAGCAACTTTATTGATTTTAAACATTTAAACATTTTTTAAACATTTATGCTTTTTGAGGTATAACTTACATATAGCAAAATTTACTCTTTTTAGGAATACAGTTCTCTGAATTCTTAAAAATAATGTCATGTAACCCTTGCTCTACACAGCATATAGACTATATCACCCCACAGAAGTCTCTTGTGCCCTTTTGGTAATCCATTTCTTCCTTCCCCTGGCAATTACTGATTCATTCTTTGTCCCTATAGTTTTGCCTTTTGTGGAATATCTTGTAAATGTAATGATTAAATATGAAGTGGTTTGAGTCTGGCTTCCTTAGAATAATATTTTTATATTCGTCCATTTTTTGCACATTGTTTGGTTCCTTCTATATATTAGCAGAATTCCATTTTATGAATGTACCACAATCTGTTTATCCATTTGCCATTGATGGACTATTGAGTTATTCTCAACAGAGTTTTTGGTGATTATGAATGAAGCTGCTATAAATAATTATGTACAGGTTTTTCTGTGGATGTATGTTTTCATTTCTCTTAGTTAAATACCTAGAACTAGCATTGCTGAGATATATGGTGAGTGTATGTTTACAGTGATCAAAAACTGCCAAAATGTTTTGCAGTGTCTTTCTAAAGTGCATTCCCAACAGCAATGTATAGCAGTTCTAGTTGTGCTGCATCTAGCCAACACTTGATAAAAATATCAGGAATTTTAAAAAAATTAGCCTTTCTAATAGTTGTGTAGTGGTATTTCATTATGGTTTCAATTTGCATTTCCCTTATGACTAATCATGTGTTTGAAAGTCTTTTAAATACATACACCCCCCCCACACACACACACACTTGCTATGTCTACATCTTCTTTGGTAAAGTATCCAACTTTTTGCCCATTAGAAATAATTAGGGGCTGGGCATGATGGCTCATGCCTGTAATCCTAGCACTTTGGGAGGCTGAGGTGGGCAGATGACCTGAGGTCAGGAATTCAAGACAAGCCTGGCCAACAAGGCAAAACCCTGTCTCTAGTAAAAATACAAAAATTAGTCAGGTGTGGTGATGTGTAGCTGGGACTGTCTGTGGAGTCCCAGCTACTCGGGAGGCTGAGGCAAGGGAATCGTTTGAACCCAGGAGGTGGAGGTTGCAGTGAGCTGAGTTTGTGCCACTGCACTCCAGCCTGGGTGACAGAGCAAGACTCTGTCAAATAAATAAATAAATAAATAAATAAATAAATAAATAAATAAAAGACTTTCTTCTTATTAAGTTTTGAGAGTTCTTTATATATTCTGGGCAATGTTGTTATATACGTGTTTGCAAATATTTTCTTCCAGTCTGTGGTTTATCTTTTCATTTTCTTAACATTGTCTTTCAGAGAACAGTAGTTTTTAATGTTGATGAAGTCTAATTTATAATTTTTTTTTGCTTTATTCTACCTGGTCTGACCTAACCTTTGCTTAAACCCATGCTGTAAAGATTTTCTCCTGTTTCTTTTTTTCTATAGAAGTCTTATAGTCTTAGATTTTATATTTAGGGCTATTATTCAAGTTAATTTTTATATAAAATGAAGATTTTATATTGGTGGAGATTCACTTTTTTTTTGTTTTTGCAAACATATGTTTAATTGTTCCAGTACCATTTGTTGAAGACACAAATTCTTTCTTCCTTGAATTGCCTTTGTATTTTTGTCAAAAATCAATTGACTATGTATATGTGGGTCTATTTCTGTGCTCTGTATTGTGTTTTATTGATTGATGGGTCTGTTCTTTCATTATTATTACACTGTTTTGATTACTATAACTTTATTGAAAGTCTTGAAATTAGGTAGTTTGAGTATTTTAATATCATTCATTTTCCACATTGTTGTAAATCTTCTTGTTTTTAATTTTCCTTTACAAATTTTAGAATTTCTGTGATTTTTATTGGAACTGAGTTTAATTTATAGATCAATGTAGGGAGAATCAAAATCTTAACAATATTGAATCTCTGATCCATAAACACAACCTCTCTCTCTCCTTATAATTCACCTTTGATTTTTCTCTATGATGTTGTTATAGTTTTTAGCTTACAAACCTCTATTTTATTTTACACACATGTGCATGTGCACGCACACACACACATACACACTAAGGTCCTTTTAAATTGTATATTTTTGATTATTCATAATCATAAGAGTATAATTGATTTTTGCATGTTGACCTTGTGTTCTGTAACATTAATGAACTCAATAGGTTTAGTAGCTTTTTTGGTAAACTATTTGGGCTTTTCTATGTACATAGTCATCTGTGAAACAAGACAATTTTCTTTTTTCTCTTTCTAATTAGTTTGTCTTTTATTTCTCTCACCCATTCCCATGATTGCATTGGCTAGGATCTGTCTAATGTGGTATTTAATAGGAGTGTGAAAACAGATAACTTTTCTTGTTTCTTGTTCTTAGGAGGAAATCATCCAGTCTTTCACCATTAAGTTTGACTTTAGCTGTAGGTTTTTAAAATATATGCCTGTTATTACAATGAGGAATTTTTCTTCTATTTTAATTTGCTTGGAGTTGTTATGAATGGATGTTGATGTGTATCAGATGCTTTTTGCATATTTATTAATATGATAATATAGTTTTCCATTATCTGTTGATATGGTGAATTTCATTGATTAACTTTTAAAGATTGAACCAATCTTGCATTTCTGACATATATCTCATTTATCATGCTGTATCATGCCTTTTCTGTATTGCTGAATTTGATTTAATAAAACTTCGCTGAGGATTTTTGTGTCTTTATTCACCAGGGATATTGTCTGCCTTGGGAGTTTATCAGTTTTGTTTATCTTTTTAAAAAACCCCAACTCTTAGATGTGTTAATCTTTTATCTTGTTTTTCTAGTCTCCTAGTCTCCATTTCATTTATTTCTGTTATATATTTGTTATTTCCTTTCTTCTGTTAACTTTGGGCTTAATTTGTTCTTCTTTTCTCTTTTTTTTTTTTTGAGACAGAATTTCCCTCTTGTTTCAATCTCAGCTCACTGCAACCTCTGCCTCCCAGGTTCAAGTGATAGTGATGCCTCAGCCTCTCCAGTAGCTGGCAGTAGCTGGGATTACAGGTGCATGCCACCACACCCAGCTAATATTTGTATATATATATATTTTTTTTTTTTTTTTTTAAATTTTTTATTGGATTATAGGTTTTGGGGTACATGAGCAGAGCATGCAAGACAGTTGCGTAGGTACACACATGGCAGTGTGCTTTGCTTTTCTTCTCCCCTTCACCCACATTTGGCATTTCTCCCCAGGCTATCCCTCCCCACCTCCCCCTCCCACTGGCCCTCCCCTTTTCCCCCCAATAGACCCCAGTGTTTAGTACTCCCCTTTCTGTGTCCATGTGTTCTCATTTTTCATCACCCACCTATGAGTGAGAATATGCGGTGTTTCATTTTCTGTTCCTGTGTCAGTTTGCTGAGGATGATGTTCTCCAGATTCATCCATGTCCCTACAAACGACACGAACTCATCATTTCTGATTGCTGCATAATATTCCATGGTGTATATGTGCCACATTTTTCCAATCCAGTCTATTATCAGTGGGCATTTGGGTTGATTCCAGGTCTTTGCTATTGTAAACAGTGCTGCAATGAACATTCGTGTACATGTGTCCTTATCGCCTCAGCCCAAAAACTCCTGAAACTGATAAACAACTTCAGCAAAGTCTCAGGATATAAAATCAATGTGCAAAAATCACAAGCATTCGTCTACACCAATAACAGACTTAAAGAAAGCCAAATCAAGAGCGAACTGCCATTCGCAATTGCTACAAAAAGAATAAAATACCTTGGAATACAACTCACAAGGAACGTAAGGGACCTCTTCAAGGAGAACTACAAACCACTGCTCAACGAAATCAGAGAGGACACAAACAGATGGAGAAACATTCCATGTTCATGGTTAGGAAGAATTAATATCGTGAAAATGGCTATACTGCCCAAAGTAATTTACAGAATCAACGCTATCCCCATCAAGCTACCATTGACTTTCTTCACAGAACTGGAAAAAACCACCATGAACTTCATATGGAACCAAAAGAGAGCCCAGCATAGCCAAGTCAATTCTAAGCAAAAAGAACACAGCGGGGGGCATCACACTACCGGATTTCAAACTATACTACAAGGCTACAGTAATCAAAACAGCATGGTACTGGTACCAAAACAGAGATATAGACCAATGGAACAAAACAGAGGCACCGGAGGCAACACAACATACATACAACTATACAATCTTTGATAAACCTGACAAAAATAAGCAATGGGGCAAGGATTCCATGTTTAACAAATGGTGTTGGAAAAACTGGCTAGCCATGTGCAGAAAGCAGAAACTGGACCCCTTCCTGACACCTTACACTAAAATTAACTCCAGATGGATTAAAGACTTAAACATAAGACCTGGCACCATAAAAACCCTAGAAGGAAATCTAGGCAAAACTATCCAGGACATAGGAGTAGGCAAGGACTTCATGAACAAAACACCAAGAGCATTGTTCTTCTTTTCTCAAGTTCCTTGTGGTGTAGCATTCGGTTGTTTGAGATCTTTATTTTCTTTTTAATGTAGGCATTTAATGGCACTAGTAAGTCCTTACTATGTAGGTATAAACTTGTCTTTTAGAACTGCTTTTACTGTGCTCCTTATGTATTCATGTGCTGTATTTCCATTTTCATTTATCTCAAGATATTTTGAAATGTTCCATTTAATTTCATTTCTGACCCAATAGTTGTTCAGGAATATACTGTGTAAATATTCACATATTTGTGAATTTTCCATGATTTCTTCTATTACTGATTTTCAGTTTCATACCATTGTGGTCAGAAAAGATACTTAATATTATTTCAATCTTCTTAAATTTGTTAAGACCACTTTTGTTGCCTAACATATGCTCTAACTGGAGAATATTCTGTGTTCACTTGAGAAGAATGCATGTTCTTCAGCAGTTAGTCCATTTGGTCTAAAACATAGTTCAAACCCAGAAACCCAATTTTTCCTGATTTTATGTCTAGATGATTTCTCTATTGTTGCAAGTGAGATTTTGACATCTCCTACTATTATAATATTGTAGTCTATGTCTCTTTCAAATCTCTTATTGTTTGTTTTATGTGTTTAGGTGTTCCAATGTTGGAAGCACATCTATTTACAATTTTTTATAACCCTCTTAGTCTCTTTTTAGAGTTTTTGACTTAAGATCTATTTTGTCTGAAACAAGTACCCTTGTTCTCTTTTGGTTTCCCTTTTTGTAAAATATCTATTTTCATCCCTTCACTTTCAGTCTATGAGTGTCCTTGAAGATGAAATGAGTCTCTAGGGTTTAGCATATAGTTGGGTCTTATTTTTTTATGTACATTCATCCACTCTATGCCTTTTTATTGGAGGATTTAATTTGTATTCAAAGTAATTATTGATAGGAAGGACTGACTAGTGCCATTTCTTCATTGTACTTCTTTATACTTCTGTTGTTTTATATATCCTTTGTTTCTTTCTTCCACTCTTGCTTTCTTCTTTTGTATTTTGATGGTTTTCTGTAATAGTATGCTTTGAATCTTACTATCTTTTGTGTATTTACTGTAGGCTTTTGCCTTGTAGTTACGCTGGGGCTTACATATACATCTGATATGTATAAAAGGCTATTTGAAAGTGACAACAACTTAATTTTGACATACAGAAACTCTATACATTTATGTTACCTCCCCCTACATTTTATGTTTTTGATATCTGATTTTACATGTTTTAAAAGTTGTATTCCTTCCCAAATTATTATAACTATAGCTGTTTTAATAGACTTTTCTTTTAATCTTTGTACTAGAGAATATAATTGATTTACATATTGCCATTACAGTATTTGAGTGTTTTGAATTTGGTTATATACTTACTTTTACCAGTTACTTTTATACTTTCATATGTTTTTCATGTTACTAATTAGCATCTTTTGTTTAGCTTGAGTAATTTCCCTTAGCATTTTTTGTAATGCAGATCTATTGGTGAATGAACTACCTCAGCTTTGTCTGAGAAAGTCTTTATCTCTCTTTCATTTTTGAAAGATAGGATTTCTGGGTATAATATTCTTGGTTGGCAGTGTTTTTTTTCTCATTTTGAATATATCATCCCATTCCCTTCTGGCCTACAAGGTTCCTGTTGAAAAATCCACTGAGAGTCTTATGAAGGTTCCCTCATACTTAACAAGTCACTTTTGTCCTTGCTGCATTCAAAAATCTCTCTGCCTTTAAGTTATGACAATTTTATTGTAATGTATCCCAATGTGGGTCTCTTTGAATTCATCTTATTTTGTGTCTTTAGACTTCCTGGATATCTATTTTCTTCCCCAGGCTTGGGAAGTTTTCTTCCATTATTTCTTTGAATATATTTTTTCTTTATTTCTTTCTTCTCCTTCTGAAACTTTGATAATATGTATATTGTTTTGTTTCAAGCTGGGGCACAACTTGATTTTATACATTTTAGGGAGACGAGATATCAATGAGTATATGTAAGACGTACATTGGTTTGGTCTGGAAGGGTGGGAGGAAGACAACTTGAAGCAGGGAATTTTTTAATGGACAAATTGTGAGGGAGTTATGTAGTTTTGTTTTTTTTTTTAAATCTCTGTTGCTGTCTTATTTAGGAATAGAATGGGAGGCAGGTTTGCCTGACACAGTTCCCAGCTTGACTTTTCCCTTTAGCTTAGTGATTTTGGGGTACTGAGATTTATTTTCCTTTTACACCATCAGCTCAAACATTTATCATTTCTTTGTAGTGAGAACATTCAGAACATTATTAACTATAGTCACCCTTTAGTTTTTAAATGGACAAATAAAAATTGTGTGTATTATATATTGTGTGATTCAAAATATGTGCATACATTGTAGAATGGCTAAATTGAACTAATTAACATATGCTTTACCTCACCTATTTTTGTGATGAGAACACTAAAATCTTTTCTCTTAGCAAATTTCAAAAATATTATACATTGTTATTAATTGTAGTTACATCACCATGTTATACAACAGAGCTCTTAACCTTATTTATTTTCTAATATTTTATTAAAGATTTTTGAGTATATGTTTATGAGGGATATTAGTCTACAATTTTCTTTAGTGTCTTTTTCAGATTTTGGTGTTAGGGTTATGCTGGCCTCATAAAATGAATTGGCAAGTTTTCCCTCCCACTTTTATTTCTGGTTGAGTTTGTGTATTAGTTTGTTCTAATGCTGCTAATAAAGAGATATGCAAGACTGGGTAATTTATAAAAGAAAGAGGTTTAATTGACTCACAGTTCCACATGGCTAGGGAAGCCTCACAATCATGTTGGAAGGTGAATGAGGAGGAAAGTCACCTTTTACATGGCAGCAGGCAAGAGAGCTTGTGCAGGGGAATTCCCATTTATAAAACCATCAGATCTCATGAGACTTATTCACTACCACAAGAACAGTATGGGGATGCTGTCCCTGTGATTCAGTTATATCCACCTGGCCTGCCCTTGACACATGGAGATTATTACAATTCAAGGTGAGATTTGTTGGGGGGACACAGCCAAACCATATCAGTTTATGATTAGGATTAGGATTTTTTTTTCATTAAATGTTTGGTAGAATTCACCAGTGGAGACATCTATTCCTGAAGATTTAAAATATTGAGTTCTATTTATTCAATGAATGTGGAGCTGTTTAGAGCCTCCTTCTTCTAAATCTTTCTGTAGTTGTCATTATATCTTTCTGGAAGTATCATAAAGAAGAAATATACTTTCTATAAGTGGAACTGTGTCTTGTCAAAATGCATTTATTTTATGTAATTTGTCAGATTTATTGTCATAAAATTGTTCAGAATAGCCCCTATTATCCTTTTAATTTCTATAGTACAATGTCTTACTTTTATTTTTAATTCCTGATGTTTGTAATTTCTGTTTTCTCTTTTTTGTCTGTAACCAGTCTTGCTAGGGGGTTATTAAGTTTATTAATAATTTTACGCAAATGTTGATTTTGTTAATTTTTGTTAACTTTTCTCTTTTTCACTGGTTTATATTTTTATTTTTACTATCACTTGGTCTTTGTTTTCTTTGGGCTTCATTTACCCTTCGTTGCTAGCTTGTTAAGATAGAAGCTTAGATAACTGATTTTTATTCTTTTCTAACATTTAAAACTGCAACATGGTTTTGTTGTTGTTGTTGTTGTTGTTGTTTAGATAGATTCTTGCTCTGTCACCCAGGCTGGAGTGCAGTGGCATGATCTCAGCTCACTGCAACCTCCACTTCCCAGGTTCAAGCAATTCTCCTGTCTCAGCCTCCTGAGTAGCTGGGACTACAGGTGCATGCCACCACACCCGGCTAATTTTTGTATTTTTAATAGCGACAGGGTTCACCATGTTAGCCAGGATGGTCTTTATCTCCTGACCTGTGATCCACCTGCCTCAGCCTTCCAAAGTGCTGGCATGACAGGCGTTAGCTATCACGCCCAGCCCCTAATATGTCTTTCATTGCATCTCATAAATGTTATGTTGTGCTTTATCATTTACTAAAATATTTTCTAATTTACCAAATTATTTTTTCTTTGATGTATGAGTTATTTAGAAATGTAGTCTTTAATTTCCACATATTGGGCAATTTTCTAGAAATCTTAATTATTATTGATTTCTAATTTATTTATTTATTTGTTTTAGGGAGAGGGTCTTGCTTGTTGCTTAGGCTGGAGTGCAGGTGACACGATTGTGACTCACTGCAACCTTCAACTCTGGGGCTCAAGCAGCCTCTTGCCTCAGGCTTCTAAGTAACTGGGATTACAGGCATACACCACTATGCCTGGCTCATTCATTTTTTTTTTGGTAGAGATGGGGTCTTACTTTGTGTCTCAGGCTGGTCTTGAACTCCTGGGCTCAAGCAATTCTCCTCCTGCCTTGGCTTCCAAAAGTGTTGGGATTATAGGTGTGAGTCACTGTGCCAAACCTGATTTCTAATTTATTAAGTTTGGCCAGAGAATACATTTTTGCATGATTTAAATTCTTAAATTAATTAAGATTTATTTACAGCCCTGGTTATGGTCTAGCTAAGTGAATGTTCCATGTGTATCTGAAAGAATTTGCATTCTGCATTTATTGGGTATCATTCTGTAAATATTAATTAGGTTACAATATTTACTAATCTGGTCTGGTCTTCTAATTCTTACTGTTTTTTATTCTACTTGTTCTATTAATTACTGATAGCAAGGTGTTTAAATTCCCAATTTTTACTGTGGAATCATTTATTCCCCATTTAATTATGTCAGTTTTTGCTTTACTTACTTTGAAGGCTTTCGTTCAATGTATACAAATTTGGTGTTGCAAAATTTGTGTATATGATCTTAAGAAATATATTTTTTATTACTCTTTTTTTATCTTCTTTTTATTGTTCTTCTCTTCCTTTCCCCATATTTTATCACTTGAATTTGTTTTTTTCTTTTGGTATCTATTTCTTGTCAGCTAACTTGTTATTTTGGCAACAGAGAAGGACATAAATTAATACAAATAAATAATACCATCATTTTTCTTAAGTGTAATGTCGTACGTTGGGAAATTTTAACCACCTATCTTTAAAATATAAAGGAGAAACATGAACATTTCTTTCTAACTGAAAGTGATTATCTCCTCCCAGAAGATAAATTTTATAACAACAACATTCACAGAAATGATGTTACAGCCATTTCTCGTCTCCAGGAAAATTTAAATGCCATAGGAATCTGTCTGACAGATGATAAAATACAGAAAGCTTTGGATAATACTAATCCTAATGGTGAGTAATTATTTCACTTTAAATAAACAAAGTTGGAGTATGTCAGAAGAAACTAAATGCCTAAGGAGATACAACTAAATTATCTATCTTTTAAAAGAAATAGCAAAACTATTTTTCTATTTTTTAATTGATAAGTTTGTATTGAAGGAATTTTTTTTTACAGTTGTATGTCTGGCAGCTTTTATTTTGGATCTCATGTGCATATCGTATACAACACAAGATAATTCATTCCTCCACTTTATTTTCATATTTCATAGCTCTGGCTTTATAACATCAAATGGTCATTTTAACAACAGTATCTAAACTGTTACTTCCCTTTTTTTTTAAAGATGAAGTGGTGCATTTTAAGGATTTTATCAAAGAATTGACCAACACTGATGAATTTATTGAATGCCAAAGTAAGTATGAAATTTAAAGGAATGTAAAAAGAAATTTCATGTCTCTAGCTTTGTATGTGTAGGAGTGTGTGTGTGTGTGTGTGTGTGTGTGTAACTTTTTGTTTTTTTTGATATAGAGTCTTGCCCAGGCTGGAGTACAGAGGCATGATCTTGCAACCTCTGCCTCCCAGGTTCAAGCAATTCTTGTGCTTCAGCCTCCCAAGTAGTCGGGATTACAGTTGTGTACCACCACACCTGGCTAATTTTTGTATTTTTTAGTAGAGATGGGATTTTACCACATTGGCCAGGCTCCTCTCAAACTCCTGACTTCAGGTGATCTGCCCACCTCGGCTTTCCAAAGTGCTGGGATTACAGGCATGAGCCACCATGCTTGGCCACATATTTAACTTTTAACAAAACTCTGCCAAGGCCCCTTTTTCATTGTGTCATTTAAATGATATAGAAGTATATATTCTTAAAATCCTAGGTTTTCAAATTTGTGGATACACATTTTTCATAACATCCTTAGTTACTTAAAAATTGTTATCTCTGTGTTTCTTTCTCTCTTTTCATGGATTCTGTTATGTTGCATTTTTTTCGTTATTGGTTTTGTCCAAGGGTTTTCTCTTATTATCGGAATAATCTCGTTTGATTTCTTTAATCACCTCTAGTGTCATTTGCTCTTTTCTTATTTTTCTTTATTTCTTCTTATATATTTGGGTTTACTCCCTTGCTCTTTGTCAAAAACTTTAGCTAAGTGCTTAACTCAGCTTTTAAAAGTCTATTTTGAAATTTCAGTACACGGAGACATTAAAACAATCATGGAATACAAACATTGAAATTGTGAATTGAAATCTTAAGACTGGGGTTTTGAAATGAATCTTAAGTGTATTATCTCTAAATTAGTCTTGAATTTTAATGCAATTAAAATTGATGTTCCAGAAAAATTTCGGTGGAAACTTTGAGAAAATAATTCCGATATTTATTTGAAAGATGGACCCTTTTGAAAAGCAATAATGATGGGGAAGTTGCCTTACCATACCAGATAGAAGGACATATCATAATGCTGTTGTAACAGCATTAGAAATAGACCAATGCATCACAATATAGAACCTGCAGAGACTCATATATATAAGAACTTGACATATGATAGAGATATCATCAATCAATTGGGGAAAAGATGTGTTATTTAATATATTATTTGAGAGATTGCCATACTTTGTGGAGGAAAATAAAATTGAATTCTTACTTTATGCCATACACAAAAATAATCTTTAAATAAATTAAATAGATGTTAACATGAATCTGAAAGTAAAACTATAAAGCTGACAGAGGAAATTATTGGAGAAAATATTGTGGTTGTGAAGGATTTCTTAAATGAGACTTCTAAAATCACAATCATAGGATAAAAAAGAAATCTATTATATTGAAATTAAAGCTTTCTGTTCAATAAAGACCTCTGAAGAAATGAGCAGATATGTAACAGACTGAAAGATTAATTGCAACTTTTAGAGCTAACCAATGATTAATATTTCAAATATGTATAAAAAAATTCTACAAATAAGCAATAGATAAATAAAAATCCATTGGAAAAATGAGTAAGGATGTAAGAAGGTAGTATGCAAAAGGAGAAACACAAATGGCTAATGTGTATATGAAGAGAAAGCATTAGGAATACTTATAAATCGCTGGTGGGTAAGTAAAACAGTGTTGCCATTCAAAATAGCAGTCTAGCAGTACTTAGTGAAATTAAATACGTTTGTTCCCATCACCCAATAATTCAGTTCTTAAGTACACTTATTAGCCCTGAGAAAGTTTTGTGTTAGAGACATTTATAATGATGCTGATTGCAACATTATTTGAGAGAGAAAAGAAATGAAGGTAACTTAGTTGTTCATTGCTAGGGGAATCATTAAATAAAATGTGGCCCCTACATAGAGTAAATAATAAACAATAAACTAGACTTACATTTGCACCATTGATATATTTCCATAGATACATTTCAGTAATATATGGTTCAGTGAAGAAAGGGAAGAAATAGATCAAACTTGTAGGTCAAAATGCTTTATATAAACTGATTTATATGAATGCCCATAAGGCAACACTATATTTTTTCAGGTAAACATAAATCTAAGTAGATAGATGAGATAGATTGAATAGAAATATATTAAATACACTGGAGTTGCTACTTATGAAGGAATAAAACTGGAGATAGTAGTTAAAGGAGAAAAGTAATAAAACAAGCAGGGCCCCTTTGAAGATGAGTGGTGACAAAACACCATTCATCCAAGAGTATGATCAACTCAATTCTGTATGCCAGAATTCTTTAATAGTATGAGAAATAAAATTGACAAGTTGGATAAGATTAAACAGAGTGCATATATTTATACACAGAGATAAAGATAGATTTGAGATTTAAATGACAATAAGCCTGATTTAAGAAACATAGCTTTTCATATTCCAAAAACATTGCATACACATTTTCAAATGCCTATGAAATAGTCACATAAATGTATGGTATAGTTAAGTCACAAAGAAAAAAGTTAATGAAATCTGAAAATCAGAAGTTGTTCAGACCACGTATTCTGACCACCATGTAGTAATATATTAAAATTAATTATGAAGGAATATGGAAAACATTTTGATCTGAAGATTAAAAACAGATTTTAAAAAAGCAAAAAAAAAAAAAAAAAAAAAAAAGCAGATGCTCCTCTAAATAATTATTTGGCTAAAGAATAAAGCCTGAAATTAAAATTATTTAGAAATGGATGAGAATGATAGCACTACATGTGAAAACATGTAAAGTGTGATCAAAACAGTCTTGCCAGAAATGTTACAGCTTTAAATGCTTTTATTAGAAAATTAGGAACACTGAAAATAATTTATCTTTATTGTTCAATTCATGAAGCTAACCAGTAACATAAACTAAAATAGCAAAGCAATCCCCACAAAAAGCAGTAGTTAGGAACTAATCAAGTTGAACGTAGGAGTAATTGAAATAGAACATACACACAAAAACAAATTATTCATTTAACCAAAAGTTGGGTCTTGAAAAAGACCAATAAAATAGAGAACTCTTTAGGAATTATGATGAAGGAAAATAAATGGAGATGGCATAAATAAGAAGATAGTGAAAAATGTGGATACGGAGATTTAAAAATATTTGAATAACACTTAAAATTAAGTTAATAAAATGTCAGTTTATGGACATCTCATCAACAGCACTGTCGTTCTTTCCAAACATGTAGATAAGAATAAGGGCAACTTTTTAAATTAAAAAATAAGAAAATAATTTATGGTACCATTTCATTGCAATCATTTTTCTGTTTTGTTGTTTAGTTTTTTGAGTTGAACACTTCAAAATACTTATTTCTTCTTTTCTCTTATAAATATTTAACCTGTAAATTTTGTAGAACTTTCCATTTAGAAGATATTTCAGAGGTAAAAAGGATCGGTTCTACAAAACAAATATGTTTCACACAAATCAGGTTGTTATGTGCTTATGTGGATACAGTAAGTACTGTGACACTTTCTCATTTATATATATATATATATACACACACATAGGAATAGAAGATGCATGTAACGTTATTAATAGTGTCTGTGATGGAAAAGTTGGAATTAAAGAACTTTTATCCACTTTGAAGAGCCTGGAAAAACCTTTAAATGAAGAACAATTTAAGGTCTTATCAAACCATGCAACAGATGGTGAGTACTTCAATTACTTCTCAGCTCTCCTGTTGAGAGTACACATGTTCCCACAGGCTAAAGTTTTAAAAAGTAATAGTAATACTGTATACTTATTATGCAACTAGTATATTCATATATTGCTCATTGTGAATTGTTACAACCCTTTTGGAAAATTTATCGATGTTCTTTATTTGGGTAAGACAAACATAATCTTGTTATTCACATTTTTAAACCAGATGTTCATAAATTGGAGTATAATGGCCAAATACTACATATGGTAGGGCCCTACTCTTCCTTTTCTCCAACCACATATTCTAGAGAGAAGATACTTCATATATACAGAGTTCCACAGACTTTTGGGTTCTGTTGAAGAAGAACATAACCTTAGTGACCCTACTATTGTTGGATTCACGTAACTTTTACACGAGATGGAGTGTAAAGACAACAGTGAGATTAAGCAAATGACTTCTGCAGTGTCTAGAAGGCATCGATTACATGGTTCTAACCATTTCCTTGCTTTATTTTATTTTATTATTATTATTATTTTTTAGTTTTATATTTTTTATTGCATTTTGGGTTTTGGGGTACATGTGAAGAACATGCAAGATTGTTGCATAGGTACACACATGGCAGTGTGATTTGCTGCCTTCCTCCCCATCACCTATATCTGGCATTTCTCCCCATGCTATCTCCCCCCAACTCCCCACCCCCTGCTGTCCCTCCCCTATTTCCCCCCGACAGACCCCACTGTGTGAATCTCCCCTCCCTGTGTCCATGTGTTCTCATTGTTCAACACTCACGTATGAGTGAGAACATGTGGTGTTTGATTTTCTGTTCTTGTGTCAGTTTGCTGAGAATGATGGTTTCCAGGTTCATTCATGTCCCTTCAAAGGACACGAACTCGTCATTTTTGATGACTGCATAATATTCCGTGGTGTATATGTGCCATATTTTCCCTGTCCAGTCTATCATCGATGGACATTTGGGTTGGTTCCAGGTCTTTGCTGTTGTGAACTGTACTGCAATGAACATTCGTATGCATGTGTCCTTATAGTAAAACAATTTATAATCCTTTGAATATATACCTGGTAATGGGATTGCTGGGTCAAATGGAATTTCTCTTTCTAGGTCCTTGAGGAGTCGCCACACTGTCTTCCACAATGGTTGAACTAATTTACACTCCCACCAACAGTGTAAAAATGTTCCTATTTCCCCACATCCTCTCTAGCATCTGTTGTCTCCAGATTTTTTAATGATCACCATTCTAACTGGCGTGAGATGGTATCTCAATGTAGTTTTGATTTGCATTTCTCTAGTGACCAGTGATGATGAGCATTCTTTCATTGTTTGTTGGCCTCATGTATGTCTTCTTTTGTAAAGTGCCTGTTCATATCCTTTGCCCACTTTTGAATGGGCTTGTTTGTTTTTTTTTTCTTGTAAATCTGTTTTAGTTCTTTGTAGATTCTGGATATCAGCCCTTTGTCAGATGGGTAGACTGCAAAATTTTTTTCCCATTCTGTTGGTTGCCAGTTCACTCTGATGACTGTTTCTTTTGCCGTGCAGAAGCTGTGGAGTTTGATTAGGTCCCATTTGTCTATTTCAGCTTTTGTTTCCAATGCTTTTGGTGTTTTGGTCATGAAGTCCTTGCCTACGCCTATGTCCTGAATGGTTTTGCCTAGATTTTCTTCTAGGGTTTTTATGGTGTTAAGTCTTATGTCTAAGTCTTTAATCCATCTGGAGTTAATTTTAGTGTAAGGTGTCAGGAAGGGGTCCTGCTTTCTGCACATGGCTAGCCAGTTTTCCTAACACCATTTATTAAACAAATATAGGGGAGTTTTGGTTGTTTTTGTACTTTGTATAAATGGAATAATACTGTATATGTTTTCATAGTTTGCTTTTAGCTCAGTATTGTGAAATTTAGCCGGACAGATACATTATAGCTGTGGTTCATTCCTTTTTACTGTTGTATAGTTTTCTATTTCATGAACAAACCACAATTTTAAGACAAATCTGCCCTGTTGATATTGAATTTAGGCTAGATTTCAGTTTTTGCTATGCTGTTATTGAAAAAGAATGTCATATTTATCTCTTGATATGCATGTCCAAGAGCTTCTTTGAGTATATTTCTAGGATAACTGCTAGGTCTTAGGGTATTTTCATGTTTTAGTTTAAAAACTAATGCCAATTTACAAAGTAGATATAATGATTTATACCCCTACCAATAATGGGAAAGAATTTCTGTGGTTCCATATATTAACCAATATTTGGTATTGTTAGAATTTTTTTTTACTGTTTTCAAATCTGTTGGGAAAGTAAAAATACCTAATTTTGGTTTTTACTTAAAATTCTTTGATTACTAATAAGATTGAACACCTTTCAGGTGTTTTTAGCTATTTCAATTGACTAATGAATGCTCAATTAGAACCTCTGCTCATTTTTTGGTGAGAGGAATTTCATTTTTAAGATATTAATTTATAGAGGTTCTTTATATATTCTGGATACTAGTCTTTAGCATTGTACTTTACCAATATTGTCTCTCGGTCTATGGTTCGTTTTTTTTCACTTTTTATGGAATCTTTTGGTATACATTATTTCTTAATATGAATGTACTCAAATCTATCAATATTTACTTTATGGGCAGTAAACTTTGTCATGTTTGAGAAATCCTGCCCCTATCCTGAGACCATGAAGAGATGATTCTGTTATCTTCTAAAAGTTTTGCCTTTCACTTTTATGTCTTTGATCTATCCAGATGTAATTTTTATTATGATGATTAATAAAATACATTTGGGGCCCAACTGTATTTTTTTCTATATTGTTTATTGAGAAAACTCTTCTTATTGAACAATAATATCATTTCTGTCTGTATCAAGTGTCTATATATGCATAGTTCCTTCTATTGGCCTATTTTTCTATCCTTGTATCAGTACCACATATTTACTGTAGTTTTAAAATAAACCTTATGTATATTAGATGAGACCCTCTTTGCCCCCATTTTGTTGTTCTTCAAGTATGTTTTGGCTGTTCTTGAACCTTCCTTGTCCATATAAATTTTGGGTACAGATTGTCAAAATCCTTTGGGAGTTTTGAATATATAGTTCAACTTGGGAGAACTTGTATCTTTTGTATGTTAAATAAAAGCTTTTTTAATTTTAGTCATTTTTGGGGTACAAATGATTTTTGGTTGTATGGATGAATTGTATAGTGGCGAAGTCTGAGATTTTAGTGTACTTGTCACTGGAATGTAGTGTACATTGTACTCAATATGTAATTTTTTATTCCTCAACCCCCTCACACTTCCCCTTTCTGAGTCTCCAAAGTCCATTATATCACTTTGTATGTCTTTGCATACCGATAGCTTAGCTGCCACTTATAAATGTGAACATGCCATATTTGATTTTCCATTCCCGAGTTGCTTCACTTAGAATAATGGCCTCCAGCTCCATCCTAGGTGTTGTAAAAGACATTATTTTATTCTTTTTTATGGTTAAGTAGTATTCCATGGTGTATATATACCACATTTTCTTTATTCACTCATTGGTTGATGGGCACTTAGGTTGGTTCCATGTCTTTGGCGTTGTGAATTGTGCTGCAGTAAACATATATGTGCAGGTGTCTTTTTGATATAATGACTTTTATTCCTTTGGTAGATACCCAGTAGTGATATTGCTGGATCAAATGATAGATCTACTTTTAGTTCTTTAAGATATCTTTATATTGTTTTTCATAAAGGTTGTACTAATTTATATTCCCACACGCAGTGTATACATCTTCCCTTTTCACCATATGCATGCCAACATCTATTGTTTTTGAACTTTTTAATAATGGCTATTCTGGAAGAGGTAATGTGGTATCTGATCGTGGTTTTAATTTGCATTTCCTTGGTTATTAGTGATGTTGAGCATTTTTTCATATGTTTGTTGGTTATTTGTATATCTTCTTTTTTTATTGTACTTAAGGTTCTGGGGTACATGTGCAATCATGCAGGATTGTTGCATAGGTACATACGTGGCAGTGTGATTTGCTGCCTCTATTCCCCCATCACCTATATCTGGCATTTCTCCCCATGTTATCTCTCCTCAGCCTCTCCACCCCCTGCTGACCCTCCTCTAGCCCCCCAACAACAGACCACAGTGTGTGATGCTCCCCTCCCTTATCTGCTCATGTCATTTGCCCACTTTCTAATGGTATTATATATATATATTTTTTTCTTGCTGACTTGTTTGAGTTCCTTGTAGGTTCTAGATATTGGTCCTTTGTCAGCTGTATAGTTTGCAAATAGTTTCTTCTGTATTGTCAGTTGTCTATTTAGCATATTGATTATTTCTTTTGCTGTGCAGAAGATTTTTTAGTTTAATTAGGTCCCACTTATTTATTTTTGTTTTTGTTACATTTATTTTTTGGGTCATAGTCATAAATTCTTTGCCAAGGCCAATGTCCAGAAGAGTTTTTCCTAGGTTTTTCTTCTAGAATTGTAATGGCTTCAGGTCTTACATTTAAGTCTTTGATCCATCTCAAATTGATTTTTGGATAAGGTGAGAAATAAGGAGACAGATGTGGCTATCCAATTTTCCCAGTACCATTTATTAAATAGGATGCCCTTTCCCCAATTTATGTTTTGTATGCTTTGTCAAAGATCAGTTGGTAATGAGTATTTAGTTTTATTTCTGGTTTCTCTATTCTGTTCCGTTAGTCTATATGTGTACTTTTTCTTTCTTTAATCAGTACCATTCTGTTTTAGTAACTATAGCCTTGTAATATGATTTGAAGTCTGGTAATGTGATGTGTCCAGATTCATTCTTTTTGTTTAGGATTGCTTTGGCTATTCAGGCTCTTTTTAGGTTCCATATGAATTTTAGGATTTACTTTTCTAGTTATGTAAAAATAATGTTGGTATTTTGATAGAAATTGCATGGAATCTGTAGATTGTTTTGGAAAGTATGGTCATTTCACAATATTGATTCTCCCAATCCATGAGCATAGGATGTTTCCATTTGTTTGTGTTGCCTATGATTTCT